GTCCGATCATGCTGGATCGCGAACTCGATCGAATAAACGTAGGTTTACACGTTTGTACCAAATTTCATCAAAATCGGATCATTTTTGCTCGAGTTATCGTGCTAACGGACACATACATATATATATATATATAAATATATAAATATATAAATATATATATATATATGAATTTGAACGGATGGTGTTTTTGGCCTCTAGGGACCTCGAAACGAAAAAAAAAAATTGGTCCCGCGTCCAGGTCTTACCATGAGTACTACGGTAATAGCTTATTCCCTATATGGGAAATTCGCTAACACCTTTCATACATACTGACGTTTGCAACTTGTATCTTAAGTTCCTCAAAATTATTTTCAATCAATACAAGTACGGTTCTTTCGTGGTTATGTCGACCAGGACAGCACTAAGACATCAGAGCAGCATTGTCGGTACAAGCATTTTTGTCCTGAACAATGGGAACGAGGTTTATGGGGTAAAAATTGAGTTTTACTTTACCCTAAAAACACAAAGTTTCCCAATATTTCTCTAAAACACTTTTAATAGCTTAAAAACAAATAATTTAGTACCTATATTAACGTGTTTTTGTATGGTTTTTAGTTACGGATAAAAATACCAAAATTGTAAATTTAAAATTCCCTTGTTATTCTTATGTAGAATATTGTAAAATTATTTTGTTTGTTTGTTTATAGATATATCTTGATCAAACTTGTCAAATTTATTTGTTTTATACTAAGGCTATTAATATTTTAATATAAACACACTTTATTAGCCTCCTTGTAGCAGCAAACCTGGGTAATCGTTAAACGCAATGTCATTTTTAGATTTAATTGAAAATCAAGTAAGTAAAACGGAAATTCGCTAGGTCTGCAGGTTTGCTGTGACGGGGGTATTTTATACTTTCTCTTGCTCCTTGTGATCCTTTTCCCTTACGTAGTAAAGAATTACATTTATTTTCAATAATCCCCTTTTATATAGAGCATGGAGGTACGGTAACTAATTGTATTACTTTATGAATAAATGGTTAAATATCGTAAAAAGTAATAATATTTCAAAACACCCTGTATGGAGTGGTTTAATACACTTAAAACTAGTCCCAAACGATTCAAAATAACTAAAACCATCGAAAACCACACCTCACATGACTTTAAACGTAAAACAAAATTAATCAGGAACAAGGGCCCTTCGAAACAAAAAGGGCCACAAAAAGGGCATTAGGACAACCAAAATTTTGGGGACTCATCGGATCTTCATTTCTCATATTATTAGTAACTCACAGGTGAAATTTCATGAATGTACAAATTTTGTTGTTTATAAAACCCTATTTTACCTGTACTATATAGGACAAACAGCTCGGTCATTTAACATTAGATTTAAAGAACATCTACCCACAAAATCTAACAAATCAAACTCCGCCTACGCCAACCACCTCATTGACCAGAATCACAGCTACACATCAATAGACAATAATTTACAGATACTTCATACATGTAAAAAAGGTAAATTCATGGACACTATGGAAGAATATGAAATCTACAAAGCTGTCAAAAAAGAACCTCACAAAACCTTAAATGAACAGAGAGCCTTTAAATCAAACATCATTTACGAAACGGCAATCAGAATAGGTGATATTAATTCAAAGAAAAGGATCGCATCTGACGAAGGGGAGGGGGGAGAGGGAAGAATGTGCGTGGACTGATAACAACCGGTAGTCTAGACCAGCCGTCCGCATGCGCCACCACACACTCTTGCCGTCCCAGTATTTGTACAGTTTATGTTTAATGTGTCGTTTAAATGTTTCGTGTTCGTGTCCGTGTATTCAATGGTTTTTATTCAAAATGACGTGTTCGTGAAAACGAACGAAGATGATGTCCCTAGCCTGAAGAAGATACCATGAAAAGGTTATCGAAACTGCAGTAGCATATAAGACTACAAGGATCGCTTTGACAGTAAAGGTATTTAAACCATTCATTAAGTTACTAATAATTTGTTTGGAGAATACGACATCAATGAAATAACGAAAAGCTGTGTACGATGTAAAGCTGGATAAAGATGATTTTTTCTAGCTGTCACTGGAAATTTGTTATTACATTTAGTTTACAAATACTGCAACCATTTCCGATCATGTTTTGTAATAAAATCCAAAACCAAGTAAGATTAAAAACGTTGTGACTCACGTAACTAAACGGATCAAATAAATTGTAAGTGCAATAATATGTAACTAGTGTACATGTTGCTCAAATTCGAGCAATTGCAAAGTATTAAAGGAGTTATTTCAAAATGAATAACAATGAATATTTACAATGAGTTTAAATGAGTCAACTCAAAGATTACCGGTGTGTAACTAAAACCATGTTTATCTTCGTTATTGATAAACCTAAAGCATTCATCCGGCCGGTTTTCTCCTTCTCAAAATGCCTCGCTGTACAGGCGACACAGGTTATTGATAGAGGGCCAATTGAGAACGAAAAGTCGTTTTGGGGTAGTGTTCCATCTCTTGTTTACAGTTGCAGACGATCTATTCTGGTTTTCAACCTGACTTAAAAATGGAACTAATTAGTTATCTGCTCACATTTCACCTTTATAACTGTTACTGTATAGTGTGAAAGTTGGTCAACCATTGGAATCACCTTCTAGGAATAAATCAAAGGCTTAGGGGTCAACCTTTTGAAGCCCTAATCGAAATATCCTTTTTAATTACCATTTTGCTCTGCGCAAGATCTTAGGCTTTAAAATGACACCTCAATTGTAACATTCGGCGCAGTAGGTCGGGTGAAAAAAGGACTGTTACAGCTTATTGAATTAGGAAGATAGATAATGTTAAAAAGGACAATGACATATCGCATGCTTAATACTGGATATTACAAGACAATGCTTAACCGAAGAGCCGTTGATTTCCGGGGGTAGATGTCCGGGGGTAGATGTCCGGGGGTAGATGTCTGGGGGTAGATGTCCGGGGGTAGATATCTGGGGGTAGATGTCCGGGGGTAGATTTCCGGGGATAGATATCCGGGGGTAAATGTCCGGGGGTGGATTTCTGGGGGTAGATGTCCGGGGGTAGATTTCCGTGCTATGGCAAATCACTTAATAATCAAACAATTACATGTTGATTATTTAATAATATATTGGGGGTAAATTTCCAGTCGCGGGCTGTTTCTCGACCGTGTATAGGCTCCGCCCCTCGTGACGTCAAAATTACGTAGGCGTTTTTTCATGGGGGTAAATATCCGGGGGTAGAAATCCGCTACCCCCGATAACTGATTTGGCGAGTCAATGAACTCAAGAATTTCGTCATGATTATTAAAATTATTATTTTGATTTTGATTGGGAGTAAACACTGCGGCCAAGTGGTTTGCAAACACTTCAGATTTTTCAATATCGTTTCTTGCCCAAGTTCCATCGGACTTAGAGATAGGCGGTATCAAGATATTTTGACGGTTTATCCCTCTAGTAGCCTTCCATAGAGAGTAGTTTGTTGTTTTATCAGGTGACAAATTACCTGTATATTCAGAAAACCATTCATTTTTAAAATTTTTCAGATCCCTCTTAAGTTTTTGAGTTGCTCGGTTAAATTTAGTTTTGTCTCTCGGATTTCTAGACTGTTGCCAAATTCTCCTTAATCTCCTCTCCTCAGCAACTTTCCGTTTTACATGTAATGGATAGTTGTATGAAGTAAAATGTGTTCCTGTCTTTTGTATATTAGGAGTCGCTTGCCAGCAGGATTGTTGAATTACATTGTTAAAATTTTCTACAGCGTCATCAATGTCATCTGGAGTTTTAAGAGGTATTTTTAGGGAAAGCTCTTCATTTGCTCTGTCTCGAAATATGTCCCAGTCAGTAGATTTACTAAACAGCTTAAGAGGCTGTTCTTTACACACAACAGTCGAACTTAAGGTGACAATAATTGAATGGTCTGACAAAAAATCTAGGCTTACTTTTATATCAATATAGTTTTGATTTTATATAGCTGGTTGAATAAACTTATAAAAGTTTATTCTGTAGAACTATGAGGTTAGTTTATTTACTCTGTGATTTTGTCATTGATTATAGGAATTAAGTAAGATCTTTGACTATTAATCAATAGTCAATGGTAAGATTCTATAACCATTGCTGTATACGAATCGAAGGTCACAAGCTTTCGAAAGAAAGCTTATGATTTTTTTTACGCAAATTTTTGAAGAAAGGTTGGGAAATAACAAGATTACATCTTTTAATTCATCTCGGCAGCTTTTTCTTTACAATAAATTTTGAACTGCTTAAACTATGCTTGAATTAGGAATAGAAATATTGTTATAACTATGTACAGTTTTAATGGACTACTCGATTCCCGTACGTAGGACGGGCCAACAGCTCGTTCTATTTAAATAGGGATTAAATGTGATATTTTTTAGGATACATTTTAAGTAAATCCAATCAGGCAAATGGAAATTCGCTTAGTCTGAAGGTTTGCTGCGGCAGGGTATTATTTAATCAAATCAAATTTTTATTGCCAGAATAAAATAGAATGCATTTCAAAGTAGATAGTGGTCAAGTCTACTGAAAAAGAGTAGTGGTCATGTTTAGTTACCTGTTTATCTGTTGTTATTGTTCTTGACTCATATTCTGTTGACATCATTCTAAAAATTGTTTGCTATAAAATTAATCATTTAATTAATTTTCAATAATTTCCTTATCTATGTACTGTATTATTACACTTATTTTGATCGTTATCATTATTGAATATTAGCATTGACTATTGGATAGTCAAAGACATTACATTATCGTCTTGAACTTAGACCATTAGACATTCTTTTTCTAGTTATTTTATTGCATACGGTACTGATAACTTTCTGTCCTGTGTGAATAAGTACCTATTTATTGATTACCATTCAAATAATCTAACACTAACAATAAGCTGTACAGCTTAATAGCTAACACTATCTATCCCTAGTCTTTCTTAATCAACTCATATGTATTAGCATGGATGAGAAGGTAAAGGTAATAAGAATAAATATACTTATTTGTATATTCTAGCTGTATATTTTAAAACTAAGTGTTTTAACTATTATTTTGTTCGGATTGAGCTCTTGCCATTAACGCTACTTTCTGAGCTCGTTGAACCACCTCTGGGCATCTTTTCTTTCGCACCAGTTTGCAGTCCTGGAAGAATCCTTCGTTCTTTGGGAATCCATGACTGCCATCACTGAATGTCACCATTCCTGAACATGCAATAACATTTTTACCAGAGACAAATATATTTATTGTAAAAAAATACACTGATGAAGGATTAAATTACATTAAAGTTACCACTTTTATCTTAAAATATCCACAGGTAGCTTACAATTTGTGCAATTTTTACAGCGAAATATAGTTGGACCGTTATGAACAATTTCACCTATATAAGGCTAAAAATAAAATAAAATAGGTTTCTACAGATAATAACTTGATAATTTACTAGTCAATTTATAAAAAAAATATTGATAGTTCCAAGTTATCAATTTTGAAAATATAAAACGTAGTCAATAAAAATATACAACCCATCGAAAATATACAGTTATGAAAGGTACATAAAATGTCAAAAGATTGTGTGCATATTTTTATTTTATAATATTGTAACTTTAAACTACTGTACTAAAATTTAACAAAAAATATTTTAAATATCTTTAAGAAATATCTCCTAAAATATTGTATAGTAGGCATAATAACGTAGAACCACAAGTGTCTGTTTTGGGCCCTGTAGCATACTATTTTTATTTTATTTTGGTGGTTTGCCAAAATCTCACTCTACTTTATGTTTAAATAATCATAATTATTTTTATTAGCAGATGATATTAATTTTACTCTCAGTGGAAAAAGTTAGTATGGTGTCTTGGCAGAGTCTCAACAAGCAGTTCATCAAGTTAATGACTAAGTAACTTTTAACCCTTTAACTATTAAATAAAAATAAAACCACGATAATCAATTTTAAGTGTAAAGATATTTCCAAATTAAATCAAAATCATTCATATTGTGCGCAGCTTCAAACTTTCTAATATACTATTTTTTGGGCTACAATTAGATCACACTCAACTGGACAAAACATGTTGAGAAAGTATATTTTAAAATTAGTTCAGGTAATTTTGCATTGAGAAGACTGGCACCTTTTTGTAATTTTGACTCATTAAAATCAGTTTATTATTCGGTTATCCACTCACACATTTTTTATAGTATAGAGCTTTATGAACATCAATTATACACATCATTATCATCATTATCATTATGAACATCAACATCAATTATAAATCCAAAAAGAATCCTACATTTTCAAAAAGTTGCAATTAGGTTTATGCTTAAGCTTCCTGATGATGCTCATTGCAGAGATCATTTTTGTAATCTGAAAATTATTACTGTCTTTATAGTACAGTGCAATTAGACCTAAACCGGGACATCCAAAAAAAGTTCCAAACCAGCGCCAAATTGTTAAATACACTTCCCTCAATATGTAAAAAAATTACACTGATTTGAGTGTCGGGTTAGGGGGGGGGAGGGAGTAAAAATGGGGGGAAAAGGACTTTTTTTTATTTTTTCGCCAATTACTCAAAAACTGTTAGTTTTTCTCAAAATACAATGCATTACAAAAATAATCTATATAAAATTTCGAACAAAATGATACCATACAATACCTATCTACTATGAACGGTACAGGCGATATTGAAGGGTAAATGTGATTTTTTTCTTCAAATTCTAAAAACGTTGTTTTTTTAATGGAGGAAACCCGTGGACATCCATGAAAAAAGTTTCTAATGGGTGCTAAATTGTTTAATAGACCTCCCATAATATGTGTAAAAAAGTTACACTGATTTGAGTGTCGGATTTGGGAAGGAGGGTTTAAAGAAAAATGGAGGGGAATGGGACGTATTTTACTATTTTATAAATATCTCGAAAACGATGTGTTTTTATTGATATATTATGGATTACGAAAATAATTAAAATTAAATTTCGAACAAGATGATACCATACCTATCTACCTACCTATTACCTATCTACTATGAACGGTTCAGGAGATATTTAGGGGTAAATGTGATTTTTTCTGATGAATTCAAAAAAGTGTTTTTTTTTATATGTAAGAAACCCACGGACACTCATAAAAAGTTTGTAATGGATGCCAAATCGTTGGGTAAACTTCCCTCAACATGTGTAAAAATTTTACACTGATTTGCGTACCGTTTTTGGGTAGGAGGGTGTGAAAACGGGGTGGGGAATTTTATTCATAAGTAATTTAGTAAATTTTTTAAGTAACACTTTTTATTTTCCTCTTTAACACAAATATAATGTCAATTTAACTAAATATGACTTACCTACCTGAAATGACAAACCCACCTAGATACGTGAACACAGTGGACATTCTAACGTTTGATTTCATAAGTGTGTTTTATCATTAATTAGTTATTACGTAAATATCCGTATTACAATAGTTATTTGTGAAACTAGTGGCACTTTGCTGCACACGAGAGAAATGCTTTCGCATGAGCTGCAGGCGAGTGTAATATTTTTCCTACAGTTACTATAAATCATATAAATAATTATAAGTCTTTCAAACACTATTCGACACCTGCTTAGGTAAGGTTATATAGTATTCGTTAAATCCAATCGTTGAACGAAATGGGAAACACTGCAACAGCTGATTGTAATTGTAATATTTTTAAGTGTTGCAAACCTATATCTAAGCGAACACGGATTACGTGCATAATGAAAGCACGCTGTTTTGTGTTGTTTGGTTGAAAACTGTGAGACAAAAATAAGTATATGCAGCAATTAGTAGCTTTCTGTACTATGATCTGTGCAAGAAAGCCTACTTTGTCGGGTGACTGTAGGAAAATATAAATTTTTTTGACCTGATATTGTTGATTCATTCAAACTTACTTATACGTACTCCTTTTTTTAAATATGAAATCTAATAAATACAGAGTGTCCCTTAAGTAGACAGCCAAACTCCGGGAAATGGTTATATGAGTCAAAATAAAGAGAAAATCAAGCATAACTTTTTTTTCAAAATCGCTTCGTTAACCAGATATCCACCATTTTGTTTGGTTATACAAGCTGCTAATTGATGCATATACTTACTTTTTTCACACAGTTTGTACACGGCTTTTACTTTGTCGCACACCAGTATTCCAACCAAACAACACAAAACAGCGTGCTTTCATTATGCACGTAATCCGTGTTTGCTTAGAAATAGGTTTGCAACACTTAAACATATTACAATAACAATCAGCTGTTCAGTGTTTCCCATTTCGTTCAACGATTGGATTTAACCTTACCTCAAAAGGTGTCCTATAGTGTATGAAAGACTAATTATTTATAGGATTTATAGTAACTGTAGGAAAAATATAACGTGTAAAACGAGTGCAAAGTGCCTTTTGCTGCACTCGAGAAACCTTCCACACTCGCCTACGGCTCATGCGTAAGCATTTCTCTCGTGTGCAGCAATGTGCCACTTCGCCCACTAGTTACTCTATAGTTATTTGTGTAACTAGTGGGCAAAGTGGCACTTTGCTGCACACGAGAGCAATGTTTACGTGTTGTAGCACGTATTGTATAGTGTTTGAAAGACTAATTATTTATATGCTTTATAGTGAATGTAGGAAAAATTATAATGTGCAACACGAGTGCAAAAGGCCTTTGCTGCACTCGAGATCATTCTGCACTCGCCTCCTACATTCACTATAAAGCATATAAATAATTAGTCTTTCAAACACTATACAACACGTTTTTAGGTTCAGCTGGCAACACAAATAGGTGCCCAAGAGAAAGTAGTACCCGGTCCGTATCACGCCACTATTTTTCCTCGCCAAGAAATGTGCTTTGTGACTTGAGAATATAGTTCCGTATGTTTTTGTAATTTGAAGTGGTTTCCGCGCCTAAAAAAAATTCTTTAAAGGTATTTTCTTGTTTATTAAGATCGTAGGAATGTTTTAAAAACGTTTAAAAGAAAAGTCCAGAAAATTCATAAATACCGAAACTATAAACACGAAATGACAGGTTAAATCGTAGTTATAATAGTCAATCAGCTGCTCATAGTATTATTATCTTTAAGTGTTGCCAACCTATTTCCAAGCGTACACGGATTACGTGCATAATAGAACCACGCTGTTTTGTGTTGTTTCGTTGGTGGAAACCTGATGTGCGCCAAAGTATAAACCGTACGACAAAGTATAAATATGCAGCTTTCTGTACTATAAACAGTACAAGGAAGCCAACTTTGTCGGGTGACTGTAGGAAAATAACTATTGTGACACAGATATTTACTTAATAACTAATTAAGGATAAAACACACTTAAGAATTCAAACTGTAGAAAGTTCACCGTGTTCACGTATCTAGGTAGGTTTGTCTTTTCAGATAGGTAAGTCACATGTAGTTAAATTGTCGTTATATTTGTGTTAAAAAAGAAAATAAAATTGTTACTTAACAAAATTTACAAAATGACTTATGAATAAAATTCCCTACCCCATTTTCACCCCCTCCTACCCAAAAACGGCACGAAAATCAGTGTAACATTTTTACACATGTTGAGGGAGGTTTACCCAACGATTTGGCATCCATTACAAAATGTTTTATGAGGGTCCATGGGTTTCCTAAATATAAAAAAAACACTTTTTTGAAATCGTCAGAAAAAATCACATTTACCCCTCAATATCTCCTGAACCGTTCATAGTTGTAATGCATTGTATTTTGAGAAAAACGCACAGTTTTTGAGTAATTTGCAAAAAAGTAAAAAAAGTCCTATTTTCACCCCATTTTCCCCCCGCACCCCCCTAACCCGACACTCAAATCAGTGCTTTTTTTACATATTGAGGGAAGTGTATTTAACAATTTGGCGCTGGTTTGGAACTTTTTTTTATGTCCCGGTTTGCTCTCTTTTAAGCTAATTGCACTGCACTAATTAGTCTTTATATTTATAGAACAGTAAGTGATTACTTACATGTAAAAACTAATGAAGAGACTTTGCCAAGAGAACAAAATATTCACACATATAGTACAAGAAATCGAGAAAATTTTCAAATAAATAATTCTATGAAGGCAATTTCAAACAAAAATCCAACTGTTTCTGGGATAAATAGTATAACTACCTTCCTGAAATAATAAAATCTGAAAAGCATTTTGAATGCTTTGAAAGGAAATTAAAAAGACTTCTTGTGACCAAAGTGCTTTACAGTTTTGAGGTATTTTTCTGTTTTTAAGTTAATTTAAATATATTGGTTTATATTATATGTATGAGTTTTCTATCTAGTTATGATGTATAGTTCTGAATGTCATTCATGTATAATTTTGTATATCTGTGAATAAAGTAGCCATTGAACTGAATTGAACCCTTAAGCCTCCCATACACGTTCCGATATGTCTGACGACTCATCCGACTCCGACCGTGTCGGACTGTGTGTGAGTAAAACAGACAGGGTCCGCAGACAGTCGTATAAGTCTGCGGATGGTTGAGAATTCCAGATGGACACGGCCAACACAACCGACCGTGTCGGACCGTGAATGTGCTCAACAGACTTGGTCTGCGTACTAATAGTAATAGTTGTATTCAGTTGTTTTGTGGACATATTATAGTAAACACGATTAAAAATATGCAGTGACAACAAAAAGTTTTGGGGGAAAGTTTTTGTGAAAAACAAACTCTAAAAGTTATATATTTTTCATATATCCACTCAAGTATATCTTTTGGGATTTCACTTTATGGTGCAACTAGTGATTACAATTTGAATTCTATTCTAAAAAAGCAAATGAAAGCTATTAGAATTATCTGCAATTTAGATTTTGAAACTTCTGTTAATAAAGAACATTTTAAATCGGAAAATATAATGACAATTTACGGAATGTACGTTTATGAAACAATTTTATCAGTGAAGGACAGACTTCATGATTTGGAACGAGTTGGGGATAGTCATAATCATTTCACCAGAAATCGGGAAAACCTTGCAATTGGCCACCATAGTCTAAAACTTTTTGAGAAAAAACCCATGTATGCGGGATCAAAATTTTATAATAATCTCCCAATTGAAATTAAATCAGAGACTTCCAAAACAATATTTAAAAATAAATTAAAGAGATTTCTCATCAGCAAGGCTAATTTTTTCTTTTGAAGAGTTGAATAGTCTTTGAAGTCAAAAACAAATTCAATTTATGTATTTTTTGTTTAGAATAAAAAAAAAAATTAAGTTTGTGAAATTTTGTTTTTATTTTATTATGTTAGAAATGTATTTAATAACTATTAGGCCTAAGCAACTGTTGACACTATTCAATGTATTATGTACAGGAAATGAATAAAGTAGTTTTGAATTTAATTGAATTGAAGTTTATTGAATTGTACAGGAGTATGCCGTCATTGACTATATAACGTGCTTGTGGGACGAACAAAGCAAACAGTACAGCAAGAAACACAAGAGGCTTTTGTCTTTTTTTCGCGTCTAGAAACTTCAAACCAACCAAATTATAATTCAAATTAACCAGGATTTTTAGCAATGGTTGTATATGAAATGATAGGGACCAGGAGAAATATTCAAATTAAAGAAGATTTCAAATTATGATGGCCCAATGCTGACGGAATAAAACCGAAGTTACACGAAGATTCCGCAGTCAGAACTGTGGTTGGAAAATTTGTCGGATTGTGTGTGGTAACAGCCAGACTTGACAGACGGACAGCAGAACGGACATGTCTGCCGACATGTCGAACCGTGTATGGGGGGCCTTTAAGGAGTAAGGAGGACCTTTCTGTAGCTACACCCGAGAAGCCCACCTCATATAAACTATTTTGCTACATGTTCCTTATCCCTTCTGAGTGTGTGTGTTAACAAAAAACATGTTTAAACGGTTTAGATTTTTTTCTTAATAAGAAAGACATCATGGCATGAGAATGGATATAGGGTAAAATGAATCATTAAAAATCCATAAAAGTTCAAAGAAATGATAATGAATTATATAACCTGCATCATATGCAACTTAAAACTGATACATGGCAAAGTTACTCAGGGAGTTCTTGAGCCTCCCTTAAGTGTATAGGTGGTTTTACATTTTATAGTTTATCCTTCCTTAGTTTTAGCGAATTTCCCTATAGGGAAGTAGCTATTACCGTAGGTGGCACGGTAAGACCTACGCCCGGGAACCGATTTACTTTTTCATTTTGATGTCCCCAGAGGCCAAAAACACCATTCGTTCAAATTTTTATATATGTATATATATATATAAGTCTGTGAACGCGATAACTTGAGTAAATTTTGTCCGATTTTGATGAAATTTGGTTTAAAGGTGTAGGCCGGGATAAACTAGAATGAGTTCGTGAACCAGCATGATCGGACCATGGGAACGGGGTTTTACGGGGGTTTTATTGGGTAAAAAGTGGTTTTTCTCATTTTTGACCCTCAAAACACAAAATTTCCCAATTTTTCTCTAAATATTTTGAAAGAGCTCAAAAAAACAAATAATTTAGTATATGAAAGTGTTTTTGTACGGTTATTGGTAACGGAAAAAATTAAAAAAATTTTAAACTTAAAATTCCATGTTATTTTTATGGAGAATATTGTAAAATGTTGCAGTTTGCTTGTTTATTGATATATTTTGATCAAACTTGGCAAATATATTTATTTTGTACTAAGCTATTAACATTTTACTAAAAAATACACTTTATTAGTTTCCTTGTAGCAGCAAACCTAAGTACTCGTTAAGACCTAATGTTATTTAAATAGATTTAATTGAAAATCAATTCAGACAAATGGAAATTTGCTTAGTCAGCAGGTTTGCTGCGGCGGGGGTATTTATTTGATTTATATCTTAAATCCAACCTAGTCCCCATATGCGGCCACCACGAAACTCTCCCTCAAACTTCATGCTATCGGCTCTCCAAAAAACACCGTGGCCATGAAACCACCCCTGCATCAACTCTCCTTCATACCTGAAACAATTAACTGTCAGAAGAAACGTTGGCCATGAAACCATCTCTACACAAACTATCCTTCATATGTGAAACAATCATTTTTAAGAAGAAACTGTGGTCATGGAACCACCTCTACAGTAACTCTCCTTCATATCTGAAACAATCAACTGTCAGAAGAAACTGTGGCTGTAAAACCACCCCTGCACTAATTCTCCTTCGTATCAGAAACTAATCAACTGTCAGAAGAAACTGTGGCCATGGAACCACCTCTACAGTAACTGTCCGTCATATCTGAAACAATCAACAGTCATAAGAAACTGTGGCAGTAAAACTACCCCTGAATTAACTACTTGTAGTTTTAGTCGTGTGATCTGTGGTAGGAGATTAAAACACTTTAACATATAAACGGATTATATTTGAGACACTACAACAGATATTCTTCTCAACAGTACATCAACATTGTCAGCAACCGACAGCTACCAACATTACAAAACGTATTATCCTACGTACAAAGCAATGTACCAATCCATTAGGCTACATCTTTATCACTAGATCACAGTGATATATATATAATAATACAACATACCCCCTTAATCTAGTGATATCTCAACCAACTCTTCTTCACATTAAATCAAAGCAATACATTTCGTGCAAAATACATGTTTAGCTTTAGGAAGACCCTTAGTTATATATCTGCTAACATTTTATCTGTAGGCAGATACTTCAAAACCGTTTTGTTTGACTTGTTTCCCTAATGAAATGGAACTTAGTATCAATGTGTTTTGTTCGATTATGAAAAACAGATTCAGATTCAGATTCAGAAACACTTTATTCAAGATTTACATTTTACAAATATAAATGCAGAATGGCGTCAATAAATACAATTAATTCTATAAAATATTATCAAAATGCTCACTAAATGAGTAGTAACATTTGCTTAATATAAATATTTTCAATTTCTTTTTAAATGTCTTAATATTATTAATTTCCATTAAATCTTTAGGCAGAGCATAAAAAAACCTAGTACCTGCAGCAGTGGGTTTTTTATTATAAAACTCTAAATTATGCCTCTGGATGGCTGGGTAGTTCCGATGCCGAGTATTATAATTATGTGACATTCCCCATTTTGGAAGTGTATGTGTATTCATTTCACTTTTTAGATTAATTATAGTTTTATAAATATATAATCCATACACTGTAAAGATATTTAATTTAGCAAAATACTGTTTTGCCGATTGGTTTTCTCCTAAGTTTAACATGATACGCATGGCTCTCTTTTGTAAAATTAATATACCATCTAAATTTTGAATGGTTGTTGCACCATATAATTCAATGCCGATGCAATATGTGAGTTTATGTGAGCATAGTAAACCTTCAGTAAAACATTCAACGAGCAGAGTTTAGACAAGTTGTGCAGCATAAATAGACCTGAACAAATTTTACTTTTTAGTTTATCAATGTGGTACAACCAAGATAAATGTTGATCAATTATTAGTCCTAAGAATTTAGTTTGAGTCACTTGAGTTAAGTAATTGTTATCAATTTTTAAATTAGGTTTTAAAGGTATTTTTTGGACAGTTGAAAAATTTATGTAATTGGTTTTCTCTGAGTTAAGCAATAAGTTTTTGCAAGATAAATATTCATATATAGATTCAAGGCTACTATTGCCTATATATTCAATGTCATTTTTTGATCTACCAGAAACTATTAAATTTGCATCATCAGCATAGAGGCATAATTTACTATTTAAGTTTGTTAGAGCTGAAGGCAGGCCTTTTATATAACAGAGGAATAAAATTGGACCAAGAATAGACCCCTGAGGGACTCCATATTTGACTTGTTTTAGAGATGATTTGACTTTAAGTAATTGATTGAATTCTGTAATCGTATTCAGTTCAACATATTGCTGCCTGTTTTCTAAATATGATTTAAACCAATTTAGTGAATTACCAGTAATACCAAAATGTTGTAATATTGAAATAAGTGTCTGATGCGAAACGCTATCAAAAGCTTTACTAAGGTCCATGAAAATTCCAACAGAGTTGTCACCTCTCAACGGCATCAATAATAGCCTCAACTAGATCAATACCAGCAGTTGTTACAGATTTTCCAGACCTAAAACCATGTTGTTCTTCGTCAAATAATTGATTATTTTCCAAAAAACTTACCAATCGGGAGTACATTGCACGCTCGTAGAGCTTAGATATGGTGGGCAATATTGACAAAGGCCTGTAATTAGATGGTACTGTTTTTTTTCCATTTTTGTGTAATGTTTTGATTCTAGAAATTTTTAGTTTATTTGGAAAAATTCCAGAAATGAAAGAAGAGTTGATAATATGTACCAAGGGTTTTAGTAATGCGTTTTTAGAACTTTTTATAATGGGCATTGGAATCTCATCGTAGCCTGAAGTGAACTTGTTATCAAAAGAAGATAATATTTGCTCGAGTTCTGGTTCATCTAAAGGTGGATGGAATTTTGATACATTATTTGGAATTGGCATTTGGACAAACTGTCTATGATTATTTAGTTTAGGGTTAATATATTTGTCAACAACACTTACAAAATACTCGTTAAAAACTTCACTAACATCTTTAGGATTTGTATATGATATTTTGTCTACAACTAATTTAATTTCATCGTTGTGAAAAGAATTTTCTTTAATCTCATTATTTATTATTTTCCACGTGGCTTTGATAACATTGTCAGCATTTTCTATGCTACTTTCAATAAACCTCTTTTTGGTTGCTATCATATCTGTTGTATAATTTTTCTTGAGTTGTTTTAATGTCTGGTTTAGTTCCCTGTCTTTGGTTATCCTTATATGTTGGCTAAGGTCAATAATATTTTCCTTTTTCCTTTTTAATTGTGGAGTGATCCAGCTTTTAGCCTTTGAGTAAACTCTTGACTTTATTTTTGGAAAACACAAGTCAAAATAATAAGTAAAAATTTTTAAGAATACATTGTATTTATCTTCAACTGGTGCAACATATAGTTCAGACCAAGTTTCTTGTGCCAGATAGTTATTGAAGTTGGCGATATTTTGATGAGTAAATTTCCGTTTTTCTTGTGTTAAAGGTTTAGTTTTATTTTTTACTGTGCAATCTAGGAATTCTAATAATTGAGCATCGTGATCGGATAGTTCTGTTATTATACCCGATATTGATAATTTATTTCTTGGAATTGATGTAAATATATTATCTATACTACTTTCACCATCCAGAGTTACTCTAGTAGGAAAATCTACCAAGTATTGCATATTAAATTCTTTTAAAGCGTTACAGAATATTTTATAGCCAGGAGAATTTTTTAAAACATTAATATTAATATCACCAGCCACTACTACTCTTGAGTATTTTTTGAAAATAATATCAAGTACACAATTTAATTTTTCCAGAAAAACAGTCTCAAATTGAATTCCTGGTGTTCTATATACTCCGACTAATAAAAAAGAAAATCTATACATATTTACTTCAACTAAACAGCATTAAAAGTATTTATCTGCCAATATATCCTCAACTGCAGGTATCATTATCTTTTTACTTTTTATGGCCAGACTATTCCGAGCAAGAATCATGACCCCTCCTCCAAAATATGATTTTCTACAATAATAGTTTATAGTTATGTAATTTACAATAGATGCATGTTGGATTTCATTTTTATTTAATTTGTGTTCACTTATGACAACAAGTTCAGGTTTGATTTCTTCTAAAACAATTTCCAATGATAAAGTTCGAGAAGAGAAGTGCTGAATGTTTTGGTGTAGAATTTTAATTTTATGTGAACTTTTAACATTAGTGTATTTAATAGGTAATTTAGTAGGTTTAATAGGTAATCTTATGATTATGTAACAGGATTGCACACTAGTCTTTGAGCGCTTTGGTTGTCATTATACACTACAATAGCTTCATCATTATCAATATGTTCTTTGAAGAGTCCTTTTAAAACACACATTCTTTGGCTGCTTGTGTAATTGCAACATATTCTGCTTCAGTACTTAAAGTTACACAGGGTTGTTTCTTAGCTTCCCAAGAAACTGGTCCATTACACATTTTGAAAACCAATCTGCTGTAGGACTTTCTATCTAGTACATTGTTTGCCCAATCGGCATCTACATAACCTTTGACATTTAAGTCTGAACTGTCATCATAAGTTAAACCATAGTTTATTATATCTTTCAAATACCTCAGAACTCTTTTTGCAGCTTTCCAAGAGAGAGATTAAAACAAGTATTAAACTGACTCAAGTACGAAATAGCATAAGCAATATCAGGTCTAGTATTTACAGCCAAATACATTAATGAGCCAATTAAGGATTGATATGGAACATCGGGCTTCGATTGGTTTTCCTTCTCTTCGGTGCTCAGATCTAACCTAACATTACATTCCATTGGTGTGCTTACAGGCTTTGCATCCAACATATTGAATCGCTTTAACAAATCAAGGATAAAAGTTTTCTGAGAGACTTTTACTTTACCATCACATTTCTCAATATTCAAACCGAGACAAAATTTTGCTTCACCTAAGTCTTTTACACTAAACTTTGACAAGGGTAACTAAACATTATTGGGTTGGTAACATTATTGAAAATAACACGACATTTTGGCTGTAAAAAATGGCCCAATTAGTAAATACTATTGAAGTAGCTACTGTCATGACAGAAAGGTCATATTCCTTTTAAACTAGATCACATCATCCTTTAACTACATAATTACGTATTTTTAATACGTTTAGTAACAATGCATGTAAACGTCAATATTTACGTAACAGCCAATTTACATTATTTTTTGCTTTTTGGAAATGCCACATTACGATGTCATTCACATTATTTGTTGCCAATGAAGCTGCACGACCATATAAATGAGGAGGCCCCTAACAGTTCAAGAATAAAAGCCAACTTCACTTCAAGTATATTCCACTACACCTAACATTCCGTAGAGAGATTATATTGATAATTTTATGTAACTGAAAAGGCTGAGACAACTAACTGACATCCCCCATGTCAAGGAATTCCAGCTTTA